TTTGTGAGGCAACCCTTTTTTTTAAAACTTATGGGTATGTCAACCAGTTTTTTCTATTTTTGTTTGAGGTGAATATTTATTACATAAATAAAACATATTCTTACTAGTAATGCAATATAGTAAAAAAAACTATTTGTGGTAAACACCTTGGGGGGTATTTATCAAAACTGGAGCAGAAAAATCTGGAGCAGCTGTGCATGGCAACCAATCAGCTTCTCTCTTCAGTTTGTTCAGTTCAGATTTGAAAATGTAAGAGAGAAGCTGATTGGTTGCCACGCAAAGCTGCTCCAGATTTTGTCTGCTCCAGTTTTGATAAATTCCCTTCCTAGTTTATAACATTTTACAAATAATCTGTCTGAAATTGTGTTGCAACTTTTATTCAGAGACAAGGGCTATACTTGCTTAGTGGCCTATTTCAAAGATAACAGTTACTATAAAAAGTTAATGAACCTAAATTACATTAAAGTGGATCATATAAACAAAGCAATTTATATGTCCACAAGGTCATTAAGAAACTTTAATTTATATACATACCGTATTTAGTTAACAAAAAAGATTGCCCAGTCCCACGTCTGCCAGGCCCAAAACCGAGCCAATGATTGTGGCTAAGGCATAATGATTTTCTCATGAACCGAGCCCTTATGAAACATATAAAAGGCCTATTCTGGTCCTTCATAGGACTTAAGTTTAGCCTTCTCTTCCATTCGCTTCTGATCATGAACGCTGTCACATCTGGAAGGACCACAATGAGCCACATCCAACGGTCAGGTGCCACAAAGCCTGGAAAGGCTAGTGCTGGAGATTTTTGTGGAGCTAAGGGCTTCAGTAGTTGTTCAACTGGTGGAGGGTATGGAAAAGCCAACTATTCTTCTTCTTCTCTGATACGATCAGGAGGGCCTGGAAGTTACTCTGTGCGCCTTGGTGCTGGAAGAAGTAACTATGGCACAAGCAGTCTCTACTGCTCAGGAGGAAGCAAAAGAATTTCCATAGCCACTGGCACCAATGGGGGAATAAGCACAGTGGGCAAAGGATTAAGCTTCAGTGGTGAAAGGTTTCCTCTCTGTCCACGTGGAGGTATCCAAAATGTTACCGTCAACCAAATCCTCATATGCAGGATGTTGTAGAAGATTTTAAGGTAAGTGAATCTAAACTAATGTTTCAAATTCTGAATGAATAAATAATATTTTTAATAAAGGTGTACCGAAATGGAAATTTCAAAACCGAAATGAAACCGAAATTAAAAAAATGTCAGGCTGAAACCGAAGCCGAGAATGTTTTTTTATTTTAATTTTTTCAAATTTTTTAAATATTTTATTTTAATTTTTTTTTTATAAACTTTTTA